AACTCTTGGCTGAAACTCCTCTGTAGGTAACACAACGATTTTAAAATATGCCCAATTTTGCACAGGATACCAGATTCTCGCATGATCCGGTGCATCGGCACGTCACCCTGTCAGATGGAAGTCCTTCTTTGATGGGACCACAAATTGAGCACCAGGGATGGCGTGAGAATGGTATGTCAACTCCACGACGTGCATTCAACTGGTGGCGGCCAAACCGACGCAGAGCTGCAGTGATTGATGCTAAACGCCGACAATCCACAACAGGATACCCGGTGGATACCGTTGCCGACAAACGCGAGAGTCAGTCATTACGTATTCGTGGCAGCAGTCTTCCTCCGGGGGATCAAGCAAGGCGCACACTGCCAATTGATAACGAGGTGAAGTCACACAGGCTGAATGCACGAGTGCCCGAATCGTCATGGCCAGGTGTACAGACACTCGGTGGAGCTGTGTGGACAAATTTGCACACACTTGATACCACGTTGAATATAAGACGTGATGATCCCCGTGGTTATCAACGGTGTTTCAGGCAGGTTCCGCCAGTGAGCTGGAGTAACATCCAAGTGAGTTGAAATGTCACTATGGAGAAAAAAGTTCAATGTTCCAATGTCTCATAGAAATCCACTAACTACTACGAAAATGTCCTCCTTAGTGATTTAGAAGACTACATAATATAATTGCACAAAAACGATAGATAATATTCCATCCCGATTGGTTGAACTTGTACTTTAATGGCACATTGTAGTGAAATACTAGCTTGTACCTTTGGTAACAAATAGTTTAAATTTGAAGCGCATTCGATCTCACTTGCAATATTTTATAAAGCCATTTAAGTCGAGCTTAAGAGCGTCTACTCTGGAGTCCGTCGTGCACGCTGATTCAGACGGGTTTAGTTGTAGTTTACGCGAAACAGTTCACAGATGTTGCATATATCAGTCAGCAATTATAACAGGAGTTATCATCCCAGCAGACCATTAGGAACGGCGTCAACTAGAGGACCAGCTGCCTTAGCGCGGTTGCATTGGCGCTGTTTAATCCTCAAGGTTATTGCGTAAGGACACATGGCTGCCGCTACCAAATGGTTTCCCATTTACGAAGATACATCTGTGTCGTCTGTGTCCGGAAATTTGTGTCAACGAACAATGTGTGAGGAAACATGTCGTCCACCACAATAATCATGGTCAATTAGGTTTATTTGGCAGAACGGTGTTCGTCTGTTCCACGTGACTTCCAGAAATCATAATCAGTGGATCTACGGTTAAGGGTTTCGAGCGCCAGTTAGACGCTCTTGGTTGGAAAAACGAAATCTTTTCCTTCTCCTGATCATATCCATCTTCCAACTTGGAGTTCCTATCCAGTGCTCCTCCACACACTTTCGTATTATCCTTCAGTGAAATAACTTTCGTTCCTCATCATCTTCAATTTGCTTCCTACGGCTTTCTAACTACACATGGTCGGCACAGCGGGGACTACTAGTGCAGGGTACGTGGACAGTAATTGGTACGGGTGTTTCGTTTTAAATCCATCAAGGCTTCGGAACACCTTGTCATTTCCTGGTTCAACGATCCGCTCAAGAAGAAACGCTCAATGCATTTTCCTATCGTTCCATTCAAATCTGAATCTAAAACATCGCCGTGGTTCCAAACAGATAACATTTGACTATTGTTTCATTGACAGCTATTCACGAGTCTAGTCTACTGAGGAGATTACTTGCAAGTAGCCTGTGCTACGCCTGCAAAGTTGACATATACCCACTGATTATAATCACGATGCCTTCAAAGTACACAGAGCGCGGTATGGCAATGAACACGCCTAGATTAGTGTTTCGTGTCGTGCATGATGTATACCACCCAATTCGTTCGGGGTAGGTTGTTATGCACTGAACGCGAACAAATAAGCAATTGTTGTCCTCTCACTAGTTCTAAGAATTGGTTGCTGTTATCGAAAATGTATGTTCTCTCTGTTACACGGCAGCACCTCTAATCGTGAGTGCCACTATTACTGTACAACACAAAGGGAAACAGTAGTTTGTCAAAACTTATGGGATCCGAACAGCGAGTGTCACTAGGTTCCTTTTCACAATAACTCAGTACAGTCTCATTTACAGATAAGTGATGCCAGAGAACAGCCAAATTAGGCGGTTCATAACCTTGGAAAAGTGCAAATCCTGCCTCGTTATTTTGTAACTTAACCCCTGGGGTTGAAGTTTACTGTTATATACAGAACGAAAGTCTAAATGTATTACGGCACATTTCAGCTAACCAGGTGGAGAACTCCTCAGCTACCATCCAAAACTCGATCCGTTTGTCCAATGGTATTGAGGTCGCTCACTGCTTGACCATCCATATTCTCCCTGTACCGTGCGCCAAAAGGAATGGAGCGATACACGAATTGCGTCCTGCAACAGCATACCTCGACATTCTAAAACTGTACACGGCACACTTAACCTAATGCTGATTACGTACGGCGGAAGACCAAATATATAAAGTTGCCTTTTGCTTTCATCGCCAAACTTTTCAATCGGATAAGAGGCGACGACCGGTTTGGCAGAATCATGAGCGCTACATGCTCTTTGCTAAAATCGACAGCAATTATGCAGGAACTCATTTGTCCGCTACTGAGCTGACAAATGCAATCTTTGGTCATATTCAAGTATAAAATATTCTCAGATAGATTGAAACATGAACTAACCTGTTTTGTGTAGTATAATCCATACACATACAACGCTTACTCCAAAGCCAAACATTTACTCATCAAGGGTAAGGTAGGGATTTTTGGCGAACCTCGGTAACATAGTGTCCTATACCGTCAATTACTGTTGTCTTGGTTTGCTCCCCATACACCTGGAAGGGGGAAGTGGAGGAGATATTGATGATGATTATAGCTGCGAACGGGTGACATTAGAATTTTCTAATGATTCGTTGTCTACTTAAGTGCTGCACCAATTAATTGTCAAATGTCCCACGGACTAGATGTGCTCATACGGCAGAAGTACAAAACAAAAACATATTCTGCCTAATCTTTATATCCCTTTCATCGTTGAATTAACTGATCAAGTAAGCGTGCAGAAACCGTTTTTGTTATAGGCTGAGAAAAGACTGCAAGTGCGGTCCCATGCGTTTAATTTAATCAAGACTTAAGGATTTCCTTATCTCTTAGTGGCAAGCTGTTGTGGCTACCCGCAGCCTTTACGGATAGCCTGTCTGAATCAGTTGTGCCGCCGGCAACCAGTTCAGCCGCAACGAAATGGGAACGCCAAGAAAATAGCCGGCCCGAGGAATTCGAGTGTATCAGAGCACGGCGCAATAACAAGGTTGTAGGAAACCACTAGCACAATGAAAGTGGATGTGCTAATTAATCTTAATTAACACAAAACAAACGGTTCAAGTTCATGGTCCAACTTGCCGTTGATTCCACAAACATTCGCATTTTTAGTATGTACTCGACTTTCATCTCTAATAGTACATTAATCCACCGTGGCGCCACTGCTTTGGGCCTGAGCGCTGAGTGTAAGCTATATTCCTGTAACGGCTCCTTCGCGTAAAGTGACCTATTACTTTCATCTCGGTTCTAACTGAATTCTGATGACGGGTCTACGTACTGGATCAGTGCAGCGCTTTGGTTGCATAATTGGCCCTTCTGGGACGGTCATGCAGGGTGCTTCCGAAGGGTTCTGTGTACTGACTGGCATGTCGAAACTGTCCGTCAGGATATCCAGCGGTAGCGGTCGACCGGTTGGGTTTATCCTTATGTTTGTTGGCCTCAGCTGATTAGCGTGCCTGGTCCAAACGTGGTTCCGCACTTTAACCTTAAATAGGACACGTCCAAATCTGCTCTGGATAAGATCTCTCGCTTATATTGTTCTTCCATGTAGTAGTCGCTGACCAAAACTTTCTTTCCTGTGTAGAATCGGCGTGCTTGTGTCCTATTTCCTTTGTTATAGTAGTCCTCCACTCTGAGGTTTCTTGCTTACAAGGTATCTTGCTCCGGAAGAGATAACGCGTTCATTGTGCGAGGCTTTCGTCCCAATAACCCTTCTGCTGGTGATAACTGACTGGGAACATGGGGATTCGGTGCCGTCTTGTACATAATTGGTAAACGCATCCAACATCGCATGCCTGGTACCCTCTCCCCTCATTTTTAGCAAAGCTCGCTTCAATGTATCGACAAATCGTTCTGCCTATCAGTTAGATTGTGGATAGAATGGTGGCTAGCGAACATGAGTAATGCCGTTCTGAGCGCAGTACTCGGCAAAACAGGAAGAAGTGAATGCGACCCGTTGTCTGTGACTAGCATTTCTAGCACTCTATGTTGGCTGCAAAGCTTCCACAGTAGGTTGATCGTTGTGCCACTGGTCATATGCTGCATGCGGAATATCTCGCAGCATTTACTGAGGGCGTCAATAACAACAAAATAGTGCTACCCATTCAGCGGACCAAGGAATTCTGCATACACACGTTCCCACGGCTTCATTGTCGAAGGCCAGGTGGCTATTTCCGCTTTTCTGGGCGCCTTACTGGCAAGTGCACAACACCAACTTGACTTTGCCATCTGTTTCCAGTTCCGAGCCGATATTCGGCCAGTAAACGAAACTCCGAACATTCATCTTTATTCTGTTAATACCCGGATGGCCTCGATGGAACTGCTGTATAACCCTGTAATGAAGATCTGAGGGGACGACAACACGTTCCGCCAGTAATAAGCACCCGTTGGCCATTGACACTTCATCCTACCTTAGGAATAACTCATGCAGCTCACCTGTCAGTTTATCCTCGGACCACTGTGTAGTGTGATATTTGATCGCTAGTTGAAGGAATGGATCTTGGGTTAATGTATCATTCACCATTTCAATAGTAACCGGAAGCTTTCCGCGATTCTCAAACTTCACTTCAGACTTCAGTGAAATCGCTGCGATGATTGTTTCTTCTTTCTGGGACTGCTGATTTTCCAATAGTCGATAAAGCGCGTCAGCTTGGCACATGTCCTTTGTGGAGATATGATTCACCTCAAAGTCCTAACCGAGCAAAGTGATGGCCCAACGTTGCAGCCTGTTCGTTGTGTAGACGGAAATGCGTGACCTTGATCCGAAAATTGCCAGCAGCAGCTTATGATCAGTAAGAAGTGTGAAGTTTCTCCCATAAAGCAATTTGTGAACTTTCCGTACTGCAAACACTATCGCCAAGACCTCTTTCTCTATCTGGCAATAAGTTCGTTCTGCGGAAGACAACGATCTGGCTGCCTGTGCGATCGCCTTTTCTGAGCCGTCTGTGAACTTATGGGCCATAGTTCGAGGCGTCTGTGGCCACCACAATCTCCAAGGTAGGGTCGTAATGCGTCAGTAAAAGATCGGAACATAGAAGTCTTTCACCTGCTCAAATGATCTCTGACATTCTTTGGACCAGTTCCAGGGCTTATGCTTGGTCAGTAATTCATTCAGTGGACCATGTAAGCGATACGTATGCCGCGGGAACAGGCTGTAATGGCTTATGAGTCCTAGGAAGGACCATAGTGTTGCGACAAATTTGGGGAGCAGCATCTTCTTGAAAGCTTCCAGGCTCGCTGGCTCTGCTCT